GCTGACTGCAGGAGACCTGACCCCTCAGCTGATAGAAACAGAGCTGTGAGGTCACCTAGTGCCACACCGGGGGTCCTCTGGGCTGAATGTGCTATGAGGAGCACACTGTATCACATCATCTGCTGCCAGGATAGAAACCACTGTGCGCTGCTGAGGTACCCAGTCAGTTTGGAGAGGCCTGAAGCACACAAAGACCATCCTCAGTTCAAGCTGTTCTGTAAGCAAACCCCATGGATCCGGCCAAGCATGCATTTGAAACCTGCCAATACAAAAATGGCAGAGTTGCCTTTATCCTAAGAATAGAGTTGCCAAACAGCTGGAGGGTACACCTGCATGGCTAAGCACAGTCAGGAAAGCCAGTGAAACCAACACAGTAGATATCACCAAACACTGATGACAAGCCTGAATACTGGGACCTTCTCCAGTGCCTTGTGACCACTCTGTACCCTCATGTGCATAAATAGTAGCTCTTATGTGCTTGATGATGTTGAACTCAAACTCCAACACATTGATGAGTGAGCCAGCTGGGGTTGCAGAGAGCTGTATTTCCACTCCTCTGGGCAGTGGTGTAACCTCTTTCCATGTCCTTTGGATACAAGTGCAAAATAGCAAAGAGCAAAGCTGCCCTGATAGAGCAGGACCCTGCCATACAATTAAATTTCTTGAGGAACCTGAAATACCCCAAAATGTACATAGGTTGCTCCAAAAATAATGTATCCTATTTATTTCTATGGAAACCTTACCTGCTTTGGCAGGGGGGTTGGACTCGATGATCTCTGGAGGTCCCTTCCAACCCCTACAATTCTGTGATTCTGTGAAATGACAACAGATACAAAGAACACAACAACACTGATAGAGCAAATTCTCAGCTACAAAACACTATTTTTCAACACAATCACCACCACTAGCTATGCATTTTCACCACTGATAGATAAAAGCCTGCATGCCACACTTGTAAAAATCAACAACAGTGGAGCTGACCCGCTGCATCACTGTTGAAATGCACTGTCCACTGCTTCCGTTTGCTCACATTCACTGTTTGGTCTCCATAAATGTTCAACAAGTGCTAATGAATGTCACTGGGTGCCATATTCTCCTCAAGGAGGAATTCAGTGGCATGCTTTTGCTTCATACCTACTTCCAAGTCAGACGCCATTTTGTCAGACTGCCCCTCTGTTGCCATCTGTCATATGGCAACAACATATAATGGAATATTGGTGGGAAGGCTTAACCTCTACTGCTATACCATCAACATCTGTAAATATAATAAAACAGGAGGCATTATTTTTGGAACAGCCCTCTTAACAGCAAACATCACCCAGAAGAGGAGACACACTGTATTCAAAATTTCCCCTAGGAACTCTCCTGTAGGCATCATGCGTCTTGCATCTGCCTGAGGTCTCCATCAATTCTTCTGTCCCCAGATCCTCACAAGGGCCTAAATGTTTGTCAGATCACCACACAGAAGGTGAAAGGAGGAATTCAGCTGATGCCAGGCTCTGAGATCCAGCAGGAAACTGAAACATTCTGTGCAGTTCTTTGGCCCTGGGGAAATGCAGAATAAATGCAGTTCACTGCCTGAACTGATGCAGATCCTTGAAAACTTTATTTGCTTATCTTATCCCTGCCACCAGTGTGTTAGCATTGCCCTCAAAAAACAGACAACAAAATGTACTACAGCATCAGGGTTTATTTCTGGAGGAAGCTGGAGCGCTGCCTGGAGAAGAGAGAAGGAATTAGTCACAGGTTTGAACACACTAGTGAATGCAGCCTGCCTGGCAACAAGCAGGGCTGAGCCTGGGAACTATTGGTTACTTTAGGACCCCAAGCTGCTGTTCTGTTCTCTTGTTCCAGACCGAACACTGACTTAGCCCTGTTTGGCTTTGTTTGTCCTGACAGGGAAACACTAAGGTCTAATAAATATATTGAAGCCATGACACTGGCAGATCACCTCTGGAACATCACAAACGGAGGGGCCATAAGATAGCCCCGAGGAGAAGGAAGGTAGGGTGGATTTTCCTATCATAGGAAGCCAGGAAGGATAGGTACATGGTGAATGTCTTCATTTCATCCAAGAGGACTTAGACAGCTACAGACTGCCCGGAAGGAATTCCTCTTGTGTGAGCAGCTCCTCTGCATGCAGGTTCTATCATCTTCCTCTCAGGGCTTTGCAGGGAAGCACAGTTTGAACATGACAGAACAGGAGCAACCACAGTTAAATGCTGACATAGCAATCACAGCCATTCCTCAGCTCTATTTATAGGTCTTCCTCCTACCCTGAGCAGCTCTGTCCCACCTTGGGCCAGCTGCAGAGCTGGAGACACCCAAGAGCTTCCCACAGACCACTGAAATCCAGGGCCTGGCCATCCAAGATAGGATGTTGGAAACAAAAGCCATCAGCATACCTGTTTGTACAGGATGTGGTTCCATCGATAGGAAGATATTCCCACCAGTCTGGGCTGGTTTCTGTTTAATTTTCCTCCATAGTGAGGTTTCACTCATGCTAGCTGATTGTTGCAATACACTGCTGGGAGCTGCAACCAAGCATCATTATTTTAAGAGATCTATAGGAATTAAGGTCCAGTTTTTCAAGGAGACTTCACCCGTTAAAACAAAACAAAACCAAACCAGGACTCATGCATACTTTAAAAATGTACTCTCTACTTTTAGTATCAAAACAAATATCCAAACAAGTACCCTTGCAGGAGCAGGCAACCAAATCCAGAGCAGCACATTACAAGGTACATCTTTCTTTTAAGAGCACAAAGCACAAACAATCTGACTCCATGTGTCTTTTGAGGCACTGTCCATGCAACACAAATGTTCTTCTGTCTGACTGTGCATCAATATGAGCAGCCAAGTGTGCCCTAACTACATATGCAGACAAATGAGAACTTCCATCTTTTTGGTCTTACCTCTGGGACCCCTAATCTCAGGAAGACTAAGTACGCATTGGTACAAGGAATAGATTAACTCAGCTTCAGCTTTTTTCACCTCATAAAATGCTGCACCTTGTGCTCCCCTGCCAGGATGCATCTGATGCCTTTGTGTTTGCCAGCTACTGCTCATTCCTACTCCTAACCCAGTGCAGCAGTGGGACAAGTAAACCTATGAAGAACTCACCTAGTGCTTTCAGACATTCTATATGTAATGTGTGATTTGTTTTGTCAGGTTATCTATTGCTCAAATGCAAAAGATGCAGTGATTCTGAAATGAATATATGTGGGCTGTACCTGAAGGCACAACAGAATCATTCAATTTCCTCTCCCTTACCTGTGCAGAACTCTCATTTTCAAGTTTGCCTTAGCTACTAGCTGATGTGCCAGCTGCATTTTGGTAATGACTTGTTTCTGCACCTCCAGCTAACCACAAATTGATCTTCGCATGCCAAACCTTGGCTGCTGATACTGAGTTGTTAGGAAGAGGCTTTTTACAAATCAATAGCAGTCCGAGTTCATTCATATGCCCTTCTGTGAATTTCCACTCAGGTTCTTCCACTGCCATTAGCTATGGCAGTTGGCATTCCAAAAAGAGATCTGGAAAATGGGACTGGATTTTCAGATCTACAAATCAGGAGAGAAGGAACGAGCTGGGGTTATCACATGGCTGCTGCACTGCAGGTCTTTCTTGCTTTAACTGAGTCATCAACTCCTTGATGAAACAGTGGCTACTCTCTCCTGCTTTCTGTCCCTGTGCAATTCCATTTCCTTGCTGTTAATTGGTTCAAACAAGATTTCCCCATGTACATGGGCAGTTGTAGCATCAACCAGCAATCCACTAATTCCCTCAAACACACAGGAGTCCCTGAAGAGCAACTCTACAACTGCCTTTTGAAAGAGTTGTATTTCTTCACCACCTACCAGATTGATGTTATGCTGTGATCAAAGTTGTCCTTGTTCTCAGAGCAGATTCCAGCGTAGTTAATTGTTTGCAGCTTACATCATGCATTTGATCAGCAGAAATTCTCAAGATGTCCCTACCTATACTAAAGCAAAAAGCCTTTGAAAAGAAAAGAGTTTTTTCTCGAGGTGGACAGGCTTTGATACTTCCTGAAGTCATCAGCACAAGCATGTCTTGAGGGTCGAAATGGTTCACCCTGACTTTGTGAGAAGACTGGCAGCCACCACTGCTGTCAGAGCCTTTTAATATCACTCTAGGCAGCGTGTTGTGTGATAAAGCCATTACTGCACCACAGCCAGGCACCTCACACTGATGTTGATAATGCTTCCTTGTTGTGTTACTGAGCTCTTCATTCCTAGCATATTGGTGAGCACCTAGAGGGCACAGGGACCCCTCAATCGCATATTTAATGTACACTTTGGGGTATTATGAGTGCTTTCAGTGTTTTTCTTCTTGGAGCTGGAGGCACGGGTGGATGCTAGGCCCCGTCCTGTGATAGCAGACACTGGCTGCACTGGGCCCTGATCTTTCAGGGCCAGCTTTCTCTGACATGCGGTACAGGAAGCCACGTTCGATGAAAGGTTCTGCTTTGTAAGATGCTTTTGCATCGGCGAACACGTTTTAAGTGTGCTAAGGCAGCAGGTCACTAGATGGCCTCATAACTTAGGAGATGAGGGCAGATCCAGCTGAGGCCATGCTATCTGCGCTTAAAAACTAGCCACCCTTGGAGATCCTTTTTGAAGCGTGGAATTTCATAGAACCAGAGAGCCCTAGAATGGTTTGGGTTGGAAGGGACCTCAAAGCCCACCCAGCCCCAACCCCCTGCCATGGGCAGGGCTGCCACCCAGCAGCTCAGGCTGCCCAGGGCCCCATCCAGCCTGGCCCTGAGCGCCTCCAGCCATGGGGCACCACAGCTTCTCTGGGCAGCCCGTGCCAGACGTGACAGAATTGAGTTCTCCAGGAGGCGCGCGGCTGAGCTGCCGCTTTAAGGGGGCGGGGTGGGGGCGGGCGCGGCGTGGCGCAGCGCGGCGGGCGGAGCGGAGCGGCGCCGGCAGCAGCAGGTAGGTGTGGGCCCGGCGCTGCCTGGCCCTGAGGCGCGGCGCGGTGAGGCCGGGCCCGGCGGAGCGGCCCGCGGGGTGCGCTGCCCGGTGCTGGTGACTGCTGGAAATGAATGCGGCGCCGCTCAGCGTCGTGGCGGGCGGTGCGAAATTTAAGCTGCCTCATCAGCCCTGCCGGTTTGCAGCAATTCATGGGGAAAGCCAGCGCGCAGCGTTGTCTGGCCAGATTTATGCGTGTCATTGATTCTGGTTAATCTGGTGCTTCCCTCAGGCAGATGGGGCCTGGGTAGCTGTGCCTTCCAGAAGGAAGGCGTTCATTGATTACATTCGTTAATTACGTGGGCTTTGCTGAATAGCATTCTGAAGCGTGGAGCAATGAGAAACATTGTGACGGGTGCTTATTAGCAATAAAAATACAAAGCCTTCAGCCAATGATTTAAAGATTTAACTAAATCGACCTAAACAGCGAGCACTATGGGAGTTCAGTTCTTAATTGCTGTAGGAAGCCATCAAGCAATAATTAGACTGCCCAGAGAAGCTGTGGTTCCCCATCCCTGGAGGCACTCAGAGCCAGGCTGGATGGGGCCCTGGGCAGCCGAACTGCTGGGTGGCAGCCCTGCACACGGCACAGGGTTGGGGCTGGGTGAACTTTAAGATCCTTTCCAACCCAACCCATTCTATGATTCTGTGAACTAAAGCATAGGCCAACACACACACAGAATGCCACGTGAAGCACACTGACATACCATGCTCCCACTCTCCTTGCCTTCACTGCCTGTGACATGGAAACCAGCCCTGAGTGGTGTCAGCAGGTCCCTGTGGGCTGCTGTGCCCAGTCTGGATATCTTGGTTTCCAAAGGCAGCTTGGAATGCACTCAGTTTGCTTTCCCTTGTGTTAGCTTGGAGTGTGTCACTGTGGTTTCTCACAGGAAATGGGCTACCACAGTGGAGGTTTGCTTTCTTCTGCACCTGAGAGCATCCACGTGAGACTTCTGCACTGTAAGACCATCTTTAAAATACAGCCTGAGGTGCGAAAAATCGATTACGGTTGGTTCTTGAGCTGGTTTTAGATCTTGAAGCTGGAAGCCTGACTATTCTGAGGGAGAAAGAGGAAGGTCCACTGAGGAGATCCTTGCCTTTGATGTAAAAACATAATTTTCATATAAGGTCATCCCTGTGAGAAAGCTAAAAATTAGTGGCATCTCCCAGAACCCATAGTGGTGATCTTTGCTGTGTCCATAGGTCTGTAATTCCAGAGCCCTGCTACCAAAACTAATGATGCTGTGGTAGAACCTTAATGAGAGCAGCTTTCTCTGCCTGTGCCCTCAAGGCAGACGAAGATGTTATAAGGCCACATTATCTAGCTTTTAGCTTTGTCGCTGACTGTTTCTCTCTGGGTATATTTGTAGCACTGTCCCGGATGGATAGCTTCTCTGTTACCATGTTTCCTGCTGGCCTTGCAGGCTCCCCAGGGCAAAACGCCAGTTCTTGATGGCACAGCAGCAGCTGTACCTCCCCAAAGCCTTACCAGTACATGGTTCTGAAGCCACAGAAACATCATTTATGTCATGTTTTCCTTTCAGGAATCGTCATCCATCACTATGAAAAACAGCATGCTGTGAACTTGCTTCAAGCCTTCTGCCTCATCAGCTGTCCCTGACCAGCTGTGCTCTGAGCTTGTCTTTGGGGCCATGGCCTTCAGCAGCTGGAAGAGGCTGCTGCTGTTGGGCAAGGCCTGCAGGAGGGGAGGCTCTGCTCTGCGCTGGAAGCGCTGCTGCCACTGGAGTGCTGGCAAGTCGCTGGACCCTGAGGTGAGAGCATTTTTGGAAGAGAACACAGAGGTGACCAGCAGTGGGCACCTGACACCAGAGATCCGGCTGCGCCTCCTCACCCCTCGCTGCAGGTTCTGGAGGGAAAAGCCCGACCTGTGGCCATATGGGGACCCTTTCTGGGCAATTTACTGGCCAGGAGGCCAAGCCCTGTCCAGGTATGCCAGTAAGTTCAGTCCACTAACTAGCATCTCACCACTTGATTGTCCTATTATCTATGCACTCATTTAGAGGCATTGGAAGTGTCAGAAATTAGCTGCACAATCTGAAAAAGGAACACGGGAACATGAGAACACACTGCTTCTTTAACCATCTTTGTTTCACAGCTGGCATTTCCACCATTCCAGATTTCATGCAACTTGCAATGTAAGACAGCTTGTTAACCCAGCATGGCAGACAGCAGGCTCCAACACCAGCACAGTGTCTGTGCCAGAGGATACGTTGGTTCGACTGTCCTAAATGAGCACAGTCATGAGGGGTAACTTGAGAAGCATTCCATTGGAAACACAGCACTTGGGCCAGGCTGTGCTCTCCTTGTTGCTGCAGGAGCATCACTGCAAGTGCAAGCACAGCCGCAGAAGGAGGAAGCGGAGTGCTTTCTCTGGTGTTCCCACCCATCCTTTGCCCTGGTACTAAATTGGCTCTCCTGGGGGAGCGAAGGCTGCAGAGGGGGAACAAAGCTGGATTTCAGACCTCGCAGGAGAAGGTTATTTTCATTAAAACTAAGCCAGTTTCACTCACTGGTCTTGTATCTGCATAATCGAGCACCAAGCTGTGTGTGTCAAAGCTGTCTGGTAGAACTCCTTGTGATGAAGTGCAGGACGAGGGGCAAGGGATGTCAGCTCCTCTATGCGTCCCAAGGTCCTCATCAGGATATTCTGTGTCTTCAGTCCTGGTCCCAGCCTCCTTGCTGCCATCTCACAATATCTGTTTTAGTTTGCAGGTAGGGTGTCTTGTTCTCCCAGCCTGGGTTCCTGGGTGTATGCACACAGATGTGTTGGGATCCAAGTTCTTGATTTTTTTGTATCAGCGGAAACAAATAAGGATCTATACAGAAGCTGCATATTTGGAATAAGTGTCCTTTAAGATACCATGTTTTGCTACATGTATGACGAGAACGTTTTCTGCAGCACAACATATAAGCAAGAAACTTGCATATCTGGTTTATTGCTCTGACAGTTTTTTTCTTTTAAACGCAGGTACATTCTGGATAATCCATGTGTTGTCAAAGGGCGATCTGTTCTGGATCTTGGAAGTGGATGCGGAGCAACAGCAATAGCTGCTGTGATGAGTGGTGCATCTCAAGTCCTTGCTAATGACATTGACCCCAGTAAGCCCTTCTTTTCCTACCTCTGTGCAAAGATCTTTATTATTTTTACAATATATTTAAAACTTTTCCCTCATTCACTTGGCAGAATCTGTTTCCAGACAGAGTTTTAAAAATGCTAAAAAGAACACTAAAAAGGCTTTTGGCAGTACTAGAAGCTGGGTTGTACCACCCTTTCTTGCACCAAATGCATCTCCATAGCTCCTTAGAATGAATGCACAGCTATGTTTCTATCAAATGTTTCTTATACATCTGCTTTGGAAGAGAATTACAAGTGAAGCTGTTGTCTTATAAATGTATTCTGAGAGATTTTAAAATCAACAGGTGTTTAGAGAGGAGACATGGCTTCATTTCTGTGCAGGGCATAAGGTGAGTAATCTCCACAAAATTAAGACATTGAGTCTTTACATCTTCTTCCACTTATTTCAATTATTTTTAATATATGCCTGTCTAGTACGTAAGTCACACATACCTACTACATATTCATAGGATTATACCAGTACAAGATCACACAAACATAACTGAGGCCTCTGTGCCTGTGTGGGGGTCTTTGGTGATCATTTGGGGAGGTGTCCCCCTACTCACTGCATCCATGTTTGGGCACAGGCTTTCCCAACACACCTGGTCTCTAATGATTGGCCTCTGTTTTGGACTTGTGGCCATAGTTCAAGGATGTTGCTCTTTTTATAGAAGTCTTGTGGGCAGGAAGGATGTTTCTCATAGATAAGCAGTACATCTGGAAGTTATAAGCAGAACTAGAACTTAATTAGGCAAAAAATGGCAAATAATTAGTTCTGAGACATCACAGCTGGCCAGTTGGTTTCTGTAACCCAAAGAATGTTCCTGCAGTTTCATATGTTAGGGCCTAGATTTTACCCTTCTTTTTTTCCCCAGGATTTGTTCTGCAACAGGTTGCCCAGAGAAGCTGTGGGTGTTCCATCCCTGGGGCACTCAGGACCAGCTTGGATGGGATCCCCCGGAGCCTGGTCTGCTGGGTGGCAGCCCTGCCCATGGCAGGGAAGTTGGAACTAGAAGATCGTGTCCAACCTAAGCCATTCCATGATTCTATTTGATTTTGGGATTTTTTCCCTTGTATTACTTGTGAAAGTAGTTTATTCATAATTTGATTATTCAGTGATTAAGGAGGAAGTATAATGATAGATTGAGATGTGAGGTTTAACACATAATGAAAGCTGTGGGAGTCTCTACATTAGATAAGCCAAAATACTTGTGATGAAAGATGGAACTTTTGTCAAACTTGCAGGGAGCTGTACAGTAGAATCCTAAAACAGCTTCAGTTTTACTTTGTGACTGTTTTTCAGTTGCAGGAATGGCAATGAGTTTGAACTGTGAACTGAACCACGTTACTCCCTTTCCCATCACCATTAAGAACATCATTAACTCAGAAGCTGGCAAGTGGGACCTCATTGTTCTAGGAGATATGTTTTACGATGAACAACTTGCTGATGATCTTCATCACTGGCTGAGGAAATGCATCAGGATACATGAAACTGAAGTGCTGATCGGTGACCCTGGCAGGCATCAGTTTTTAAGCCACAGCATTCACAATCAGTTGCGTAAAGTTATAGAGTATTCACTTCCCGAGTATACTAGACAAGAAAACAATGGATTAACATCAAGTATTGTCTGGAGTTATCAGCCCTCAAATAGCCTAGAAAGCTGTTAAAAGTGGCTCTCTAATGAACTTTGTCTCACGTGGCTGTTTCCTGAGTATATAAAATGGGAATTGAACGTGGAACACGTCTGTTGACACAAAGCAGGATGTTCCTTCACCGTGCTTATTCCAGCCATGTTCATTGAGGCTTTGGCTCTGTTTGAGGTGAAACTACACGCAAACTTTATTCAGCAAGGCGTGCTGAAATGCAAATCCAAAGATAATTACACTTTGGAGTTCGCTTGCTTGATGTTTTAATCTGTGTTAATCTCACTCTTTGACAGCATTGTGGAACATTTTAGGTATCCAGTACACCCCGTGAAGAGACAGGAGGGTTGCTGAGAGATTACTGTGCTGCTTTCACACAGTTCTGCAGCTTATTTACAGAAAGGTGTGAAAATGAAAAATGTAAAGATGTAGGTTATTGTGTTATATATTTAATTCCAAGTGCCTTACTTTTTTTTTTTTTTTTTTTTTTGGTTAATCTCTTCTGAATGTCCAAGTAACTAATTTGAGGCTCCTCCTTCCCTCTAAAATAATAAAAAAAATAAATGCTGCTCTACCTTGAAGCTGTCAAGAACGATTATTTAGGAAGTTGCAACTGAATCTAAAACGTGCTGCTTGTGCTGTAGCCAAAGTGTTTAATGACTAGACAGCCATAGAGTAACAATCCTTCAAAGAGAACATTTAAGCACGTCTATGTTCTCCAACACTGCAAGCATAAAAAAAAGATAGTTGATTTGTGATGGAAAACAGACAGGCTGAGGCTGGAAGGGACCTCTGGAGGTCATCAGGTCAAACCTCCTGCTCAACAGGGACACCCAAAGCTCAGAGGACTCTCCACACAGCTTCTAGAGATCTCCAGGCAAGAGATTCCACAACCTCTCTGGCAACCTTGTGTCAGCTCTCTGTTACCTGTACAGTAAAGAAGTGTGTCCTGATGTTCAGATGAAACTTCAAAGCAAACAACCATCACGTTTTGCAGTTAGCTACGAAATAAGCAGCGGTAAGGAGCTAAACACCAAAGAAGGGAACACGATGCGCCCACAACTATCCAAACCCCACATGATGATGTGGTAGAAGCTTGTAACTATGAAAAAGTGGGTGGCACTCAGAAAGGGAGACTGCTTACAAAATAGGAAGTGAACACTCACACAAATATGACATTCAGACATCATAAAATGTATCTTAACACGTTTTCAGAAATATCCAAACAGAAGACTTACTGGCTTTAATATTCAAAGCAATATACAAATATTTGGCAGTGCTCACTCAAGAATCTACAACAGTAACATACAAGCACAATATCAAATATGAACTGGTAAGCACATACACAATGTTCATCTCCAGCTTCACTCCTGCACTCTTAAACATCTATTAAAAATGACTGTGTCTCAACCTGAATCAAAAAAGATTCCAGTAGAAGGATGCTAGTAACAAACCTCTCAAACAGCAGTCTTGAGCTCTGGAAGTGAAGGACTGACAGACTCAAAATTTGAAGCCTAAGAATGCAGTATTACTCATCACACTGATGCACTGTTTTTTTTTTAAAGCACAAAGTGAGGTACAGCACTAAGTTACACATTCAGAAAAGACTGCAGAAGAACATTGAATCTGCATGCACATTTAAGGACAGTGTAAGCTGCATTTGCCTTTAATGTGACAAATCCAGAGTTACATTAGCAAATGGCTAGCACTGTAAGTGTCCTTTGCTGTTACAGACCTCAGTGGTCTTCCACCTTAAGCTGCTTTATATATTTCCATTTATAATTTTCTTTTTGAATGTAGCACTTGAGAGATTTAGTCAGAGAAAGCCCTGAGTTAACTGGCTGAGCTTAGAGCTGGCCTTGATTTGGGCAGGAGGCTCCTGGAGCCTCTTCTCACTTCTGGTAGCTAATGATGCCACCTCTTTTTGTGGCACCCTTCCTGAAATCAGACACAACAGATCAATTACTTCATGCAAAAAGAGTTAGAGATTTATGTTCCCGAGTTTTGGAACTATGCTTTCAGTTACACATGAACAAGTTTTCTAAATGGACTTGCTCTTCCATAAGCCATATAATCAAGAGAGAAGCAGAGATCATCGTCAGATACTGTAATATCCTTTAACAATACTGGATGCATTATCTTCCATGCCTTTTGTACTGTACTTTAAATAGGTTAGTAGAAGACACTTTTATTTCTGCAACATTTAAAATCAGCATGAGCTGAAACAAGCATTAAATTCTAAAATAAACACTCCTTACTGTTGTCTAAACTCAGTCATTTTTGAAAGTCATCAGATCTGAGTAAGACCTGCCCAGCTAAATCCTGCTATTTCCAAACGTGGAATATCAACACAGTGTGCTGTCTGCTCTCTGCACTGCTGAAGTTACTAGCATTTTTAGAAGTTTAATGCAGAAATCATATAGGTCTCACTGTAAGTTCTACTGCTTCAACAAAGCCAGTGAGCATGACTTGTAATTATGATGAAACCACAGTTCTGTCACAAGCAATTCTATGCTTACAATTTTTTTTTTAAATGACTACAGTCAAACAATACATAAACAGACAATTTCATCTTCTAGAGGCCACTGGAGATGTGATAAACTGTATAAACCAGAACACAAACTTTGCTGAACTCTTCTGTCTCAAGATTCATGTACTCCAGTGCTAAACGTGGTCTTACTTCACTCCTAGCTATGCTTACAGAGACCAATGCTTTGTTCCCTCCAATGATTTTGCAACAGGAGAAAGCCAGAGCAAATGAGTATCATATAAGATTATTTTATCAGCCATCAGCACTATTCTGAGATTTGTTAAACACTACAATAATTCCAAAGATCTTCTGTGTTTGCATGTTTCAGACCGTAGTTTTAGATGTGTAAGACTCCTGTAAATACTGATGGTAAATAAAGACAGAAACCTGTAACATCAATAACATCAAAAGAAAGGTACGTACAGTTTTTTCCTCCAGACAAACAAGCTATAATTATCCTCTCAGAATAAAAACTCAAAGTAGGGACTTAGTAAGACCAGGTCTGTGTAGGTAGCTAAGATGCTGAAACATGCTTAATAACGGCCAAATCTGATTGCTCAAGGAGGCTGAGAGATGACAGTGTAACGCTGACTGTAATTTAACTTTCCTTTTAACGAATCATGATCAGTGCTGCAAAGACAGACAGGGCTCTTAAGCAGTCGCTAGGGAAGCTCAGACTCGCACTCAAAGACAGGAATGGCAATGGAGACCTCTGGTGGGAAGAAGCAGAGAAGCAATCTGCAGGTACAGAAGTCACCAGCTGTTTATTAGAGGTGCTTGTTTCCTGAAACAGCTCTCCTAACTGTAAACTTTATACTCATACATAAGCAGACAAAAAACAGTCAGTAAACGGTCCACGTCACTTGCTTGATTTTGTTTGAGATGATGAGCTGCTCTAAAACATCTCGTGAACGGTCTACAAAAGAGAAAAAGATGTTGTTATTCCTTCAGAATAACATACAGGTGCTGTTTAGAATCAGCTTAACAAAATAAACTAATTTTATCTGCATTTATGCTCCACTTTTTAATGCACACAGAAAATGAACATAGGAAGGACACAGATCATCACTGTTGTAACATCTTGTCCTGATCTATACTCACAAAAAAGTACTTTACTCTCCCTGTAAGACTAAATTTCTGTTTTAAAAATAACTTCATGACAACTTCATAGTTAATTTTTTTAAAAGAGAAACTCAGTCATAGAGGGAAATAAAACACAAGATGCAACAATGAAGGCCACTTTTGGCCTTAACAAAGCACTTCTCATGCTGTTAGGCACTTCATGTTCTTTTGCATGAGCAAATTTTTCTGAATCCAAAGACAATAGTTCATTTCCTTCAAAAAAAATTTACCCCATTACCCTCCACAGAAGACTGAAACTGGGGCCACACCGATACCATTCCATCTTGGTTATTCATAACTGGTTCATACACTCATACAATCTGTGATTGTGTCTTACTCTTAGTATCAGTTTCAATAAATATGTACCTGTTGCATTAATACAAAGTTTAAAAACAATCATTTCAACCACGTCAGACTCAGTAAAAGCTAAGTTGAGATTCCTACAGCAGATGTAATTCAACTCTCTTAAGCACATTTATCACTGTGTAACACTGATCATATTTTTCTGACTCACACCTCGTATTTTTCTGACTTTGTAGGACTTTGTTCTAGATTGTTTTCATAAGAAAGTTAAAAAAAAATAAATCTAGTTTCATATAGAATATTTATTAATCTATAAAGTCTGATGTCAGACAAGCAATGGGAAAATTTGTAACATGTTTAGAAAAATCAAGAGATAGCCTGACTTGACCCACCTGTTATCAACGGGCATCCATGGAACAGAACTATGTGTATCTTTGGACAACAAGTGAGCACTGCTTCCACAGCAATATCTGTCAGATTAACACAGCGTTCCATATGGATCTCCTGTGTTAAGAAGACAGTAATAATAATAACATTAAAAAATGCCTACCAGAGCACTCTCAGTTTTGGAGGTAAAGCTTCCATTTCCCCAGTGCTTTCAGAGATTCCTCACCCAGAAGAAGTTATGACCTACTGTTCCTCATTGCATTGATCCCTTATGTGGTTGTGTACAGACCAGCAAAACACTCTCAGGAAAAAGAAAAAAAAGAAAAAAAAAGGAAAAAAAAAAAATCAAGACAGCTTTTTTAGTTTTGACACCACAAAAATCTAAACCCATAAATTTAACTCTTCTCCACATGCATGCATTATTCAAGACACCTGAAAAAACTTTTCTGTGAGATTCCACAGAGTTTGAGTCCCAACAGTTTTCCTATCACACATTCTCCTACCAGTTTGTTTTCATGCAGGACAGAATGACTTTCTTCCTGGCAGTTTTCTTCCATTTGGCTTTGACAGGTTACTATCAAATGTCTGTTGTTCCTGTTAAAAATCAGTGTTCTCCAGGCTACTTTTTACATCAATAAACACAACATATAAGAAGAAACGCTGGGAATGAAACATCAGAGCTAATGAAAATAGGATCTGGGAATATATTCTTCAGGCACCCCAACAAAGCACTGTTTAATTGTGAAGTCTCTTTCCAAACCATGAGCTCCAAGGATCTTGAAAGGGCACATAAATGAAAGGGAGCTTTTGCAATAAATGTAATCTTGAACAGAATGACGACACAGAAAGCGAGAACTGCATTCACTGAAGCAAGAAATACAGAAGCTGGTGTTTGTGTGTTTGTTCTTAGTTCATTACAAGCAGTAAGTGAAGTGTGGAATCTGAACGCCTCCTCAAGTAAAAATATTTCACAATCCTGCTACTTGCTAGCTTGATCACTTGAAGACACTACTTATTTCACCCGTGCCTGACACTGGACCACTGCCTATACATTTTGCACGTTACTTTCACGACGTGAAGCAGATGTATAAGGATCAGGACATAGATAAGGAAGAGAGACTGAAGAAGAGACTAACAAATAGCGCCGCATTTTCCTTTCTTTTTGTCACTGCTTGTACAGACCTAAACTTCTCTAGTTCTGTATACTCATAGAACACAAGTTTTGTTTTTAAATTGTCATTCCACGTAATGATATAAAAGCTTGCTTTTATATCTACTAGATATATTTTAGTATTCTACTATTCTATTAGAACTGTCAACAAAAACCCACCTAAATACAAAAGCATTTGAATGCATGGTTTTTAAAAAGACTAAAAGCACAGGAACATGTTATTAAGCACAGCACAGCAAAGAAACAAAATCCACACTACGACTCAGTCTATTTCCTTCTGTAATTCATTTGTTAGTAGATTTGATAGTTTACCTTTAAATTCTTTGAACACATTCCGTTCACTAGTGCTATAACACCATCATCTGTTACCTAGAAAAAAAAACAGCACTTATTAACACATTGGATTAAAGCTCCATTTTTCAAACATAACTATTTGGAAAAGACTTCTTATATTAATTTATACTCTCCCTACAGTCACTTAATACATCTCACAGGAATGTATTTTCTTCCAAACTAGGTTTGCAGAGAAAACTATCCAAGTATATTTTTTCCCCATCTACTAAATACTTGCATCATACTACATACGTGATTCAGCCCAGCTGTGGAACTGCTGTATCTGTGGCTTTGTGGGCTCATTTAACAGTGGGTGCGCTACTATGGTCAGGGTATGGCATTTTTAATTTATAAGCCCTGAAGCACTTCTGCTCTATGTGAACTAATTTTCCTGCTGTTTTCACGACTGCTGAAAATGTTCCCTGCTGAAAACGTTCATGAAGGAAGCATCTTGGGTAGGAAAAAAAAATAGAAAAGAAAGAAAAAAAGAGTAATCACAGCAGCCTTTTATCTGTAGTCCTACTTTCACTCACGTGGAAGCAAACCAGCTAATTAGCACAAAATTCCCTCAAACGAACAGTCTTTCAGCACTCATCATACACTTGCACTAAAAGGTTTTATCAGATTGGCTATTGAAAACCACAAAGCAATGATTATCTGCAAGAGAAAAAGAGAGGCACAGAGGGCTTTCCTCAGAAAGGCAAGTAAGAACAATTTAAATGTTCACTTCTGGGAACTAAATTCATTAAAATTCCTCCTCATTTCCAATTGGCCTTGTATTACTGCAGTCACCAAACACACATAGTGAGATTCAGCCCAATTTGACAGCAGAATTCGGATACCACAAGCTCCATTCCTGTTTAAAGATTTGACTATTTCCATTGCACAAATTGTCTTCTTGGCTACTGGCCACCTATTGCAAATTGGCTGTACAGAAAGGATCAAACCAGTGCAAATGAAGAATTAATGACTCGGTGTGAAAGTACAGAAAGGGCAATATGAATGGCAGTGCCTAGCTCAGCACGTTTAGTTTCTCAAGACAGCCACAGCAGGAGACAAAGGACAGTAAATAAATACATTCTAATAAATTCCTTATGTGGGACAAAAGCAGAGAGATTAATCACTGTAATTTCCTAAAGGGCCTAAGATGGTACATCTAAAACCAGTACACAGTCACCAACCTAAGAACAAAAAAAAAAAGAGTTAAGATTTGACAGCTGTGCCTCTTCTCCTCCATGTCATCAAAAGAAACCTGGACCAGACCTTCTAGCTGGTGCCTTAACAACCCCACAAACCATCTGAACTCTGTCTTTATGATTATGAATATATTAAGCACCAAACCAGCTTTTATTAAAACAAAAGCCTCCTCCCTTCCTTGCCTTAAGTATTGCTATACTACAGCAGCAGCATTGCAGTACTGTTTCATACTCTGAGTATCCATTTGCACTATCTGTAATACTACATATGCTCTCGTATTATAGATTAACCATCTATGGTTAATATCAAGCCACAAATACATTGGGCTCTTGGTGTAATCAGTCACCAAACTCCTGTACACGTAACAAAGGCTTAGATTACTCAGGTATCAGCAGTCAAACACAGAAACAACCCACCCTATTCTACGTGAGACGTGCCTGCACAGACAGAATACCTAACCAGCAACACCCCTGCTCTTGCCAACACATTTTGCAGAAAACTAAACTGCCCTGCACAGAAGTTTGCACAGCCATTTCAGAAAGATTCTTCCTACAGTTATTTGCCATATACTGAATCACTGAACATTACAGAGGAAATGTACTATTTACTTTGTGTAGGAACTGGGACTCTAGAGCCCGTGTTCCTACCTGTTGACACTACTGGGATATAGGACAGACTAGAAGTAGTGCAGTAGGCACAGAATTTCAGTATAAAACCTAACTCCTCAGAATGATAATGTAAATATACTGACACCTAAGCATAAGTAGCTTTCTTACACAGCTCTGTACCAGCATAGCAGAGCTTTTTCAGGCCAAGTTTTTATTTATACACTCTCTGTATGCAGGAGTGCAGAGCTACACCTTCTTCTTACTCATTTCTTCCCTTGTTTTGCCCACCCCATTTGTTCTTATTTGTGTCCATCTTCCAATTCCTGTATTCCATCTCTCCACAGTCACCACATGAGATTATTTCTAAAAGTGCTGACACCACTCTGAGCCATTTGCCCCTTTGCAGCCTATCTTACATCTGTCTCCCTGTTCCTGCAGCAGGCTGTGGGCCCTTCTTTGCCAGCTCATCTATTTCCAGATTTCTCACTGTTTTACTCTTTCATGCACACTTGCCACTTTCACTTCATTCTTATTATTCATTCTGGCACACAAACACAAGGATGTGGTGAGGTCTTGCAGTCTCTATAGGCACGACCCACTAAAACTCTCTCCTTTAGTCTGCTTATCTGTAACTGGCAATGTCACAGAAGATGTTAAGACTGTTTAATTGATACTTACTATGTTTCATTTAGTCAAACTAAATTTGGAATTCTAGTGTATTATTACCGTATGACCAATAGGAAAGAACAAAAGGTGTTCAAACATTTTCTTATTCAAGAGGAGTTCATCCCAATTAAAACACATACCAGGAAACTTATTGTAAGAGGTAGATTGTGTTTTTGCAGCAGAAGTTTCCAGTATTTTCTGTATGCAGTGTAGGCCTTCACTGAACTTACAAACCTTCCTGTGAAACAGTTGTATATGTTACTGATACATAAAGAAAGCTGATGAATAGAGTGAAGTTGAGAATGATTTGAATATTGAATTATATATATATATACATATATGAATATTGAATTGAATAATGACTCAGGTAGGACTGAGATAGCATAAGATAATGAAAGCAAGCAGGATGGGGAGAGCCTAGCACAGGACAGGACGAATGCGCTAACTATGAAATACTGCCCTCCTATCACAGCACAAAGCAGAACGGATGTGCTAACTTTGAAATATCTCCAATATTTCAAAACGTACAAAGCATACCTAAAGACAACAATTTGGTAACAGTCCTTATGTGGAGATGTACCATAGCAACAGCATCGGGAAGACTGTGAGCCTGAGACACTCAACCAATGGGCACCAGGAGAGATATTACCTGTGTCAGGTCCAGGGTATATAACAGAATCAATTTTATTAACTAGGCATGCAATTTCTCCCTTGCCAGTATGGAGGTGTGCAACCACTACTGCAACAATGAATAAACTTTGCTGCTATCACTAAAATACTTGCCAGACTAGAAATCTCTAATTTTAAGTGTGTTTCTCACGTTACCTATTTCATGGACAGGAAGAGAGGAGATAGAAAAGGGAACTGAAAATCAAGAAATAAGCTTGAAGAAACAGACTTCAATGATAGTAATAAAAATTACCACAGAAAAAAAATGACTTTTGATGCCCTACTTCAGGAAAAGCTTCAAGGAGAACAACAGCACCTAAAATACAAACCTGTCCCACATTTTCCATATCTGATGCTTCATTATGAATGCTCCATGTAGGACTCATGCTGAGCATAAAGTAATCACTCACCACTACAGTCAACCGAATGCTACACTTCATTATCTCAGAAATTCCTTTCATCCACTTCATTATCTAACTATAATTATAAAGCCTGTTCTAGTAGTGTTGTTGTATCCCAATCTCTCCTCCTTATGCTAAATAGCAACTGCTGCTAAATCCTCTTATCTGTTATTTCCTACATTTTTCATGTCATTTTTCCCCTGTTGACTCCGTAACATAACTCTGACAAAGCCATTCAGAAAACACAATCACTCCTGAACTAAAACTAATTATGGACGCTTTGCTGACAGTATGGGCATATATAGTTGAACAATACATATTATTACTATTCAGATTTTGTTTGTCTTACCTGAAAGAACATACTAAGGTGTCCAGTGTCGTACCCTCTTCTTATGAAGTATTTTATAAGTTGAAGAAAATGATTATACTAAATAAAGACAGTGAAGTCTCCAACAGCACGTGGATTTTAATAAATGCATCTTTAGTCCTCAATGCATGCTATAATACCAAAATGTGTATTTTTCTGATTGCCAGAATGCAGAAACATGTATTTCTTTTCCTTAAGAAGGAATTTTGGAGATAATGAGATATAGCATTCAGCTGACTGTAGCAGTGAGTGATTATGTTCAGTGTGAGTCCTCCTCCTTAAGAAGAGAAAAGTGGAAACGAACCGTGGTCCTAAGCCTTATCAGGAATTGATCTAAAAAGATATTGTTTATCACATTTAATAAAGATGATCACGCCAATCTTAAATAAATAATAAACCAAAGTCAGTGATAACCTATTGCCATCAGAGTTACCTGAGTAGATGAAAAGTCCACACTGTGAAGAAATTTACAGTTTTCTCCTAGCGCCTGCAGAGATGCATCCATGATGCCTGAGCAGCTGCCCAGGTTCAGTATTTGTAAGAACTGGCAATTGAGTGCAAGAGCAAGAACTCCGCTGTCACTTATATTGCAGCACCTTTTAAAAGATGCTTCACGCAAATAAGGGCAGGATAAGGCCAAGGCTATGACACCTGTCAAAGAAACAGAATAATTAAAAAAAAAATAATCAGTCACTGTAACATAATCACCCCACTGAAATCTTTGTGCTGTCCTCTGGTGGTCACCGACCGCTCAACTTTCATTCCATGCCACGTCAGCAAGATTCTGTACATGAAAATCATTTTGTGGTCGTTGTTTTGTTTTGCTAATTGAAGGATAAGAAAAATAAATTGACATCACCTAACAAGAGCAGAGATCTGATGAACGGTACTGCTGAAGAATGCCAGTGCTGATAAAGATTTCTAAAGCTGAATTCCATAATGTAAACAAGATACCTGAGGGATGTTATCTACATAAAGATATCAACTCAGTGAATGAGTGGGGGAAAACAAAACAAAACAAAACCAATAAACAATGGCTTGAGACACCTCTGGAAATGATGTTGTAGTTGCATCATAGTTTTGGTGTAACAATGTCTGTTCATAAAAACTGAAGTATTTCAGCCATTTGGTCAACATGGTTACATGGACAGTAGGTCCAATGTGATTAATGGAAAATGCCATCATGCAGTCAAGTGAGAGAAAAGACAGGGGATGAGAAAAAGTCAAGTTAATGAACCTTATGCTGTGCTGGAAAACAGGCATGTGAAACTTGCAGAAACAGAAGATGGAGCAGCATCCTCCAACAGTGAGGATGGTGAGGATGGTGGTAGAGAGAGCTGCTCTAGAGGAGAAAGAAAATAGGATAGGTGATAGGCTGACATTAGAGAAACTGAGGAAGAAGCGTAATTTTAAAGATAATGCAGAATGATAAGGATAGATATTTATGTATTTTTGGATATTTTGTGTAATTTTTTTGCTGGTCTATATGCATTGGAAGTCCTTGCTAAGAAGTACTGACAACCAGAGTAAATCCAGAGAAAATAGCATGATAAGTTAAGGGTTTAAATGCAGATCTAGGAAGAAAACAACTCCAATGGATAGGAGGGTCAAGCTGAGATAAACAAAACTACAAAACCTTGACTGGGACAAATCACAGCCAACTATACTATGCTGGTGGCAGGCAGAAAGAAGCACTAACTTGGGGAAACTGCAGCAATAGCTTGCTGGCTCCTGAAGGAAGACACATACTGGAATGTTTGAACACTGGGGAACATTCATCAGAAAAGTGGTCTTACTTAAACAGTCTGCCCAAGTGATGAGGGAGGAGGAATGACCAAAACCAAGCACTAAAACCCCTTTGAACTGCAGAATGATTGCAGTAATTTACTCCGGTCCTCTCCACGTTCACACCAGGCCTTCATATACACACTTACTAAGTTCAGGTACAGAAAGGTTTAGTACTGCCTACAGGATTATTAGTGGACAGGAAGACAAAAAAAGAGTTAAGTCCAATTGAGAACAATACTTGGTGTGGCACTACAATTAGCAAGAAGACAGTGCTTAGAGCAGAGGATTAAAGTGTTTAAGTCAATGAGCAGCAAGATTAGGGCTGCTCTGTAAGTGAATGCAAGTCATGAGCATAGGTTAGATACAACACAGGCAGCGCAGTGCCCTCAGCAACAGGCCGCAGCCCCATGGCACTGAGCTGTGTGAGCACAGCAGAGAGATGACAGTACCAGGCCCTGCTGATGGTCCAGTGAACACCAGGCAACAAGGCGATGGGTCACATCCAAGGCAACTCAAAAACCCAGAATCAAAATAATAGTTCAGAAGGAGGACAGGAACCGTGACAGTTATGTCAGGCCCGAAGGCCCACGGGCGCCTGGTGTGATAAGGGTGGTCATGACACCGGTCATTAAGGGCTGTTGGTGCCCTCAGTGCCCTGCGGGTTGGCAACAACCAAAACATCTGCACAGAGGTGTCAGCAAGTAGCCAATAAAATCATAGAATCGTATCGTAGAATGGCTTGGATTGCAAGGGACCTTAAAGCCCAATCAGTTCTGTGTGCAGAGCTGCCACCCAGCCCTCAGGCTGCCCAGGGCCCCAACCAACCTGGCCCTGAGTGCCTCCAGGGATGGGGCGTCCACAGCTTCACTGGGCACCTGTGCCAGGCCTTCACCACCCCAGAAATAACAAAAGCACATGAACTACAGATGCAGTTCAAGAAAGGAAATTATTTCAGAGATTATGGCAACATGGTGATTCCAGTTGTACAGAAAATTACATAATTTCTAGATACAAAGAAATAAAAAGTTGAATGCTATCAGTGTATGTTACTATGTGAGAACTTCAAAGCAACATGGATAAAAGAGTATTTGTTTGTTTCAGAATTGGTTTACAGTAGAAAATATGGTAATGGCATGCAAATTTACAGGTTTCTTCAGAAAAAAAAACAAAAACCCATCAGTGAGATAGTAAAAGGTAACGTTTCTTTAAACTGCTTGTGTGTGTGTACACAACAGAAATGAGTGAATAGGAACTATTTTAACTTAAAAGTTTGGCAACCCTGATTTTCAGTATATTAAGGGCTCAGCTTTTGAGTAGGAAAGTTAGCAAAGTTGAATGGAGTAGGAACACATTGTTGTTAACTTATTAACAGCAAAGTAATCAGAAATCTCTACCCAAAGAGAGAAAAAAAATCGACACAAAGACCTCTGGGTTCAGCTGCTACCTTAAGAAATGTAGTAGATGTCAATGGACTGATGAATGCATGAAGAGGAGGCATGAAGGGAGACCCTTCATGCCTTAGGGGAGACCCCTAAACTGTCTCAGTGATCAAGAAGCACAACAGTGCAGGAACACTGAAAACAAGTAAATAAAATCAACTAAAAACATGTCACTGAAAGATAAGCACATCAATATGCAGTGCTAAGAAAATACAGACAAGGCTGATCTGAAGTAAGGTATATAGTAACTCCAAATGAATATTTAGCCTCAGTTTTCAGTATGGATGAGCTAATGATGGAGCAAAGAAATAAGCATAGTGAAAAGACAGAACAAAGGTTGTGGGAAATAAAAAGTTAGCAAACTTAATTCTTACAAGCCAATAGCTCCTGACACAACTTAAGACTACAGGTTAAGAATAATACTTGAAATACCAAATCTTAAAGTAAGCTAAATCTTTCAAGTAAGAGGAAATGCTACAAACTCATTTACTGAAGAACAAAATGAAGTGAAAAATACCATTAAATGAACACCAGCTTTATCAGTAACCTGATAGCTCTCTTTCGTAAGACAATCATTGTTCTAGGCCTATAATTTACACCACTGAAGTTACTTTTAATTAGTATTGGTGTGGCACTGGGGACCTTTTAAAGCAAGAGTTACTCTATGTATTTTTGCAATTTACTGCAATCTAAAAGAAAAATAAAACAGAAACAAGATCCCAGTTATCTACACACAGATAACAAACATACCTTCTGAAGTGATTCCCAATCTGTTTTCTTTGCAGGAGTTTAAGTTGATTTTTTTCAGTTGCTTGCAGTTATAAAGCTGCAATAATGCATTATCTGAAATATCACATTCTCGGAGGTCTAAAGACTCTACAGCAGGGTGCAATACCTGTAACAAAAACCTGCTATGTCACAGAACTGCAGATTTTAATCCAAAATACTGGTAATGTTAGACATCACAAAGAACTTATTAAAATACCCACTAGAGGATGGAGTTGTCAGTCCTGACAATTAAAGTCCATAAAGAGAACATGTTAGATTTGCCACAACAGTTCACCTGCCACAGAACAAGTGTTGCATTTCTGTGATAAATCTAGAGTAGGAGCACATTAACACTACTGTTTCAACAGCGGATACCACAGTTGTTAACACCAGTATGTCAGTTATGTTTACCAGGGATAGTATTCTCAGATTGACCAGAAATTGGATGGCAGAAAGCTGAAGTGTACACACTGATTACAAACAAATGTAATGTCTTAAGCAGATTTAAGCTGAGACTTAAAAAAATATTTTGCCCCAGAGTATTTTTCTCACCTCCACACATGCAGAGGTACCAAATCCTCATTAAAGAGTCTCTTTAAGTCCCACAAGACCACAGGACTTCCTTTCCCCCAAAGTGCATTAATTAAACTTAGACCCAAAGTGATGGAAGGCCTCAGATTGTGGTAATAACCACATATCTTACCTTTCATTTCACTTTCGGTGACTCTTATCACTTTTTACTAAATATTATTTGCAGTCCTCCTCTTCCCAGACCTTGTGTCACTATGTATTCTGATCAATAGGCAAATGTTAGATCATTACCTTATACTACCCCCTTCAGCTTCTCACTCCCTCTTTTAACTCACAAAGAACAAGGAACACTGTTCTTATGTTGTTCAAATACATATGATGCTAAAATCTTTACTAGTGAAGTCAAACAAACCTCCTGACAAGAAGGAAGAATTCTAGCAGACTGTAATTGCAACCTTCTTCCAATGTGGCAAACAGAAGGCAGCTTTGATTGTATTTTCTAAATACTAGAAGCCTCAAACACATCTGTTTATGCCATAAAACCTCCAACACGCTTGTAAGTAGTTTTCACAAGAGTCACATTCAATTTCTATTTCAGTTGTATTTCTGAATTTGTATCTCATGAGCTAATACCAAACCCAGAGTTGACATGCTTGAAGTCAAAGTGATCACAAAGTCATCATCAATGTTTATTGAAGGTGCTTTCCCTGGCTATCAAGTTTCTTCCACAACTTCAACTTGCCCAGATCACCACAAAAGAGAGCAAACTGCTGGTTTTGAAGCCACATGAAAAACCTCATCAGAACCGTAAAACAAGAAAAAGAACATTTAGATGTAGAGAGTTCTAAGCAAGAAGCCACATTACTATACACTTTACTATACACTATACACTTTAAATAGCATTATTTAAAGTAGCTGGAGTATGAAGTTCCCCTAGCTGATGATTTTTCACACATTTAGTTATTACTTAAAGGTTTGCTTTCTGTTGCTATTCACAGATTCATTTTCATTGAATACAGACACTAAAATCTAATTTGTCTCAAAGAGGTGGAATTAAGATAAAGATTGTTTGGATGCACAATACAGGAGGTTAAAGTACAGCCTTATATCCTGTGGACAAATGCTAAAGTGCTTTATGTATCTTTATGGTAAAATTGAGCTGCAGTAAGGAGTTTACATCTCATGTAAAGCTGCTCCAAGCAAAATGCAGAGTAAGGAAAAAAAGGATGGTAGAACAAGTCTGGGCAAGAGCAGGATGAGGTGAATAAAAGCTAATGGATAAATGCAAGCAAACAGAATTTCAACTACAAGAAGTTAAAACTGTAAACAAAATGCTGGACAACAGCAAGGAATAAACAGGCACAAAAGCCAATGAATCACCACAGCCTGGAAAAATCCAAGAGAACAGATCGGTTGAGATTATAAAAGAAAAGAGCAAGAGGGAAGCAGTAGCAAAGACAGAAAATTCCTTATCCATACAGAAGAAGAATTGAGATTTTGCAAATGTTCAGAGCATAAAATATTTGGTTATGCAAGCAAGGAACAATAAGAAGAGCTAAACTACTTAAGGTGGTTTTGCTGTGCTGAACAGAAAGCATACCTGCAAGATGAAAGAACATGAATGCTGAACAGTGTGGAGAAACAGCATAATTGCAGAATCATGAAGGTGGTCAGCATTTAAAGAAAGGCGCAAATGAAATAAAAGTAAACCTGGAAACTGTTAGGAAAGAAAGCTAAGATAAACCACGCTCGAGGAAAGTGATTATAGAAACTGCAGGAACAGAGAAAGGAAACACACGAGAAAAATAACCAAAATGAAATATTCAAGTGAAAAAACAGCTCCAAGAAAAGGCAGTGACCAACTGCTGAGCAAAGCCAGATGAGATTTTACAAGGAGCCAGAGGAAAAATTATAATTCAACTCCCCAGTTTCTTCTCAGATTAAAGATATCTTAATGTCTTTGAATATTTATACATACAGTCATACAGTTACAATTATATGCATCTCTCATGATGCTTAGAAAGGATTACATAGTGAAAACAGCCAAAATCAAATTGCGTCAACACAAACTCACCAAAATGACATGAAGAACACTAGAGAACTTATTATTTTTTACAATAAAAAATGATGCATACAGAAGCTAAAAAGGTTTGTTTGAAGGTTTTCCCACAGTCCTTTTAATTCTCCTCCACACTTTAGTTTCACTGTTTTGGCTCTGTGGAACTGATACTGTGTCTCTTGGGAACTGCAGCTCAAGACAGCTACGAACAGGGAGTTATTCATCTCCTGCTCACCAAGGTCAGCCTTTAGCTCTCCTCAATTCTCACACTTCCCTTCAAAGCCAAACAAGATAACAGTGGATGGATACCGAAACATATGTGCCTCTTAATTTACAGCCAAAGAAAAGTCATTTGCTGACGAGCAAAAGTGATTAGAGAAGTTGAACCATCAATTTTGAGCTCTAGCACAATCATATTTCAAAGAATGACAATGAATCTTAATGTCAAGAGTGTGACAGAAACTTAGCAAGTTCCTGAAACCTTTGACCAAATTTTGCACTGGCTTCTTGAAACACACTACAGTCTCTAGCATAACCAGTTTAAAACAGCCTACTCTGCAGTACTGAAAAGAGATTATGTTTGTCAGCTTATTAAGGAGAAGTAAATTGTCACTGACTGGAAAGTGTTTTTCATTTACTTACCCATACAAATGTATTTTGTATAAGCTTTATTATTTTTAATACATGACTGTTAGCATTACAAAATGTAGGGAAAAGAACAAGAAAAAAGTGAAGATAGGGACAGCCCTGAATTCATCTGTTGTCACACATAAGGAGTTACAGCTTAGTTCATCCTTATGAATTAACTACCACAGATGGAACAGTTCTAACAGTTCTTAGTGGGTTCTTACCTCACTGATGTTTGAATCTGTTATTTGCCCTTGTCTACTCATTAATTTAATTAGTTTATCCTTAATGTTAGGTGGCAACGTCTTGATATCTGCAGTGTATCTGGAAAGGTTCTTTGTCAAATACTGAACGCACCTGAAATATAGGAAAGTTACACAGTCAAAAAAGGCATCACATATTAGAAACAAAACAATTAACCCAAAAGCTGGACCTCATTGGGTCCAGCTGCTCCATACAGCCACAAGGTATTCAAATAGTCTCATCAGCAACAGTTATCTTGGAAACTCAGCTGCCCTGGGCTGAGAAGTAAGGCTCTCACAGGAACAACTGGCTGAAATCCTATCGCAATCAGAAACACCAGTTGGTTTGAATCAAAATAGACATTCTTTTCTTAGCAATAGCTAGGCCTCCTTCTCCTTCGCTCTCTTCAAAACATTCATCAACACAAAGAAAACAGCCTGATGCTCCTACACACCAGGCTAGAGATTCTGAACTGACAGTAACACCAACATGTACCATTTCACCCACATTTTCTGTATGTGTGTGCCATGATTCTGCCCTCTGTGTACCTTTTGTATCAGAGGTCCAAAACTGTTTCTTTGTTCTGAACAACCTCTCCCCCTTGCCAGCTAATCAAACTCAACTTACATAAGGCTTCTGTCAGGAGGTAGTGCTTTGCTAAAACACTGTATGTTAATCTCAGAGAAACACAGGGCTCAAGTATCTGTGTGAACCAGGAAGAATCTTCACTTTTGCAGCTTCGGGTTGTTAAAATCACAGGCACACTGAAACACCAGAAGCAAGTTTTGGGAATGCCTTCTAAGCACCTTGAGCAGACTGACCTTCATATCATCAGCACTCACTGGCACACTTAGAGACAGCTAGTCCCTAAAGAAGCAACTTTCTTTGTCTCTGAAGGGAAAGATTATGATGAAAAATTAAGTCCCTCGGTAAAAGAAGACAATTAGTTAGCATGAATCCAACCCATATCCAGAGACAAAAGGTAACACTTTGTCTTCCAGGAAATTACAGGATTCTAAAAAGCATTACTGTAGAGCAAAACCAAAACTGGAGAAGGATATCTCCCCACCACGTCCTGTTACTTAATATGAGCAGATGTAATCAGTGGAGTGCCCTAAACTGAAAGTTCTATCATCTGCTGACCATAGCTACCTGAACTAGATTCCCTATCTTCATAGATCTTGATAACTAATTATTTTACAAGCAATCCAGCTTACATCAAGTTACGTCACATGTAAAAGAAAAGCAGAACAGATGTTAGAGCTTGGGCAGATCAGAAGAAAAGAACCAGAAGAAAGGAAGCTAAAACAGACAAGCAACTAAATTAGATACATCTTCCTACATTCTTTAAGATTAGGTAACTTATATTCACAGCAAGACCACACAAGGGAGCTCTGTTTTGAAACTGAAACTCTTTCAGCACTCAGTTTTTCTACACGCAGATGCAGCCATCTGCAGACGTTCTGATACCTTCCTTAAGGTCTCAGCTTTCAAACACACTGACAGTCTGGGGGAAGTGCTCACCTGCAATGGGCTGGCCCCCTGTTGTCTATGAACAACACAGGGAATGATCAAATCTAAGCAATTCCTAACTGCACGAGCAGAACAGTTCTTTACAATGTGGTGACAATCTTAATTAAAACACCTTAAAACGTGCTATTTGGCTTTTGTTGCTCTAAGAGCCTCATTTTTGACTGTAGAAACTGTCTTGGTTCTGAGCATGTCTGGGCATGAACAAATGATCTTAACACACCTGCCAGAGCTCTGAGAGCCTCCGCACAACTAAAGCTGTTAGCTGCCCCAGCTGCCTCCACCTCCCTGCTAAACGCCTCCTTGGAAGGCCCTAGAACTCTTATGCAGTCAGCCTGCAACCAAACATAGTACGTAAAACAACCACAGGCTTACCTCAATGTGCCAGCCTTTAAAGTGCATCAGCTGTGTAAGTTGGTCATTTCTCACCTTGGGAACAGTAAACTTCAGAAAACAGAAACTAATACAGGATGTAAAACGTAACTTGAGAAAAAAAAGAGTTTCTAAATATTTTTTATATGATGCTCTCATGCAAAAGAGGAGTGAACTCCAGAGTGCTCCAATGCTCTTTTGGGGTGGGAGCAAAGGGGAAAAAAGGCAAAAGCAGGAAGCAGCAGCAGAAACACCTGTATAAATGCACGTCCAGGTTTGAAGAACTTAAAAACAATGCCCTTATTAAAGGAGTGCTGCACATACACAGATTTGTTTCAATTTTCAGTTTCTGCTGCAAGTTCTGCTAGTTCAAAACCGGACCCAAGGGCCTAAGTAACAAGCTTAAACCACAGATGGCCATCACCTGATTAGAGTGAGATACAACACAGCACACTAAAATAATACACATCCGAGGGTTTTAAAATGTAATTATGAGTGTCAAGTATTAATCCTACTGGTACAATGGATAAGATTGCTGCAGTATTACTAATAAAATAGCATTAATATCCAACTGAAAGTAAAAACCATTAAGAGTATCAAGCTCCACAATACGTGTGGAGAGAAATTACTAGGCCTGATTTACAACTAACTAGGAGAACGCAAGCAGGCAGCGTGATCCATAAATTTAACAGATTAATCATGCAAAACAAGATTACAATGGAGTAAGAACACTTGTAGTGCGTCACTTCAGAAGACACTGTAACGAGGAGGCGGTGATTTCAAGCAGAATCCAGAGTTTAACCACATGCTGCAGCTGTAAAGATCCATCAGCCAGTATGCACCGCCACTGCTGTCACAGTCTGTTGGATGAACTTGCTGATGAATAATAATGAGAGCTCTCCCACTCAGCACATGCAGGTTACACCATCTACAACCCTTCCTTTTTTTAAATGTGATAATTCTTTACCTGTCAGCAGATATGATAAAAGGTTGTTTGCTTCCCAGATAATCCTATCAAAGCACTAAAAACTACATTGGTGACCCTTATCACTGATAGATCTGTGCAATGCTGATTAATGTGAAGGGGCATCCTATCCTGGGCTAGGATAAGCCAGACAGACTTTCTGCACCTTTGTACTAGCCTGTGTAGGCACTACAGTATGATCACCCTTCTCTTTGGATGGCATTCTACTGAGATACAAAAGAATGGGCGAGCCTTCCTTTGTCACAAAAGTGCACGCACTTCTGTTAGGGGCTAAGCACTTAGAATTATGTAATAATAGAATCATTGAGGCTGGAGAAGACCTCCAGGATCACATAGTCCAACCAGCAACCCATTCGTACCATGCCTGCTAACCACATCCCTCAGTGCCACATCCACATGGCTCTTGAACACCTCCAAGGACAGTGACTCCACCACTTCCCTGGGCATCACCACTCTTTCCAAGAAGAAGTGTTTCCTAACATCCAACTTGAACCTCCCCTGCGGCAACTTAAGGCCATTATCTCTCATCTTGTTGCCTTTACCTGGGAAAAAAGCCTAACCTCCACCTCTCCACAATCTCTTTTCAGGTCATTGTAGGGAATGATGAGCCTTCTCTTTTCCAGGCTAAATAACCCCAGTTCTTTCAGCTGCTGCCCATAAGACCTGTACTTATTTGACATGACACCTACATTTTGGCCACAGTAAAGGAACGTTCCTGGCAAGCTTGAATTAAGTATTGACAGGTTGTTGATTAGCTATTGTATTACGGTGCAAGCTAAGCAGGAATTTGAAGAAAACAGGGTAAGGGATGGAGTGCTGTGGTAAACTGAATGGACAGAATGTAAACATCAGGAGGAAGTGCTGAGGCATTGTCAGCAAGAACCAGTTTACTTCTGATAGCTGAACACAAAACTAGACTAAAGGTGAAGGCTCAAAGAGACTAACTTCATCCCCATGACCACCAAAGGAAGACCCCTGCTATGAACCACGCATGCGTCAAGGGGAGAAGCAGCATGCAAATGAGTTTCCGGAAAATTAATGAATATGTAACTAAATTCCACATCATGTTTTGAATATGCATAAGGTTGCTTTACAAATCTGTACTGCACTTGCTTGTTGGTGTGCATAAGAAGGAATTACCCCCATGTGCCAGCTCATTGAATAAACATGCCTGCTTTATAACCTAATTCTGGGTTATAGACTCTGATTCCGCAAATCAAGCTAGACTCATCCTGATAGAGGCAAACTGTCATCATATACTGTAGTACATAGAAAAAACTGTATCTAAAATCAAAATACAAACTTTGCTGTAGGGTGGATTGGTTTGTTTTGACTATAAGGGGACTACCCCAGCCATGTGTGAATAGGTACCTGCCATTTGAGACCAACGACTTAGTTCAATATGCAGAAAACACTTCAACAACAGCGTAGAGAAATGGACATCTAAAGGTCCCTGGTTCGTTCCTGGGTTTCGGTACCAAATGATGGAGACCAGCTCAAGATGCCTGGGACAGACAGGCTTAGGCTCTGGTGGCGCAAAAGCAATCTTTATTGTTGTTACAAGCTTTTTCTATCTTTTTGCTATGCGAGTATACAATACCTAAATCAGATAACATTCATGCAGCTGGCAGTAATACATCATTGTTTAATTAACTCTTTTATGGTTTATGATCAGCACAGTGATCAAAAGGCGTTCTATTCACAGAACATGTTCTGCTCTTGGTCACAGAACAAAGAAGCTGTAACTTATGCTTGCCAGTCTCACATGACAGTCCTTCCCTTTCAGTAGGGGCTGCATGTTCCCTGTTTGACCCTTTCAGGCCAGCCAGGTCTGTTTTGCTTAACAGTCTTCCTCAGAAATCAGCATGAGTTATGCTGAGTCTCTTAGTTACTTTCAACTTTCTTGCTGCTGAGTTTTAAAATTTGTCTTGGGAGAAAAAAATGGAAGAAACACTGAATTGCTTGGGTTGAATAGGGACCCTTAGAGGTCATCCAGTCCAAGTCCTGCTGCAAGGAACAGGGACACCCACAGATAGATCAGGTTGCTCAGAGCCCTGTCCAGCTTGACCTTAAGAAGAATTGCACTATTTTCAAAACCTGCCTGTTTTCAGAGGACATCTATGATTTGATGCTTTGATAATTAATCATTTATGTTTTCACTATTCTCGCATCTTATATGAAAAAGAATATATATTTACCGGGTATACCATATGAGATGAAAGAAGAAAGGGTAAGATGTCCTTGCAAAATAAGGTAAGGCTGATGAATAAAGGCTGTGAAGAAGAACTTGATAAACAAACTTATCTTGCAGATATACAGCAGGAGATGCTAGCTTAGCACCAGCTTGTAAATCTTGTTTGCTTGACAGGAAAAAGACGGATGGACTTTGTCAAGCAGCATACAAAGATAGCTCTAGTTGAGCAAAAACAACAAACTCGACTCTAGATTATAAAGTATGCATAAACAAAAGAAACAAAGGATGGTACCTACTGGGGGGGATGAGCATGTGCTAGGCAAACTGAGAGTGCAAACCCCAAATAGCTTAGCCAGTGGGAAAAGAGGGAGAGGAGGGCTCACCACAGAGTCCAGGGACAGGGGTAAAAAAAAGGGTCTGTGAACACTGATGAGTTGAGAGATCCTACCAGGAAATGCTCCCAGTGGTCTCCCCATTTATTCTAATAAAGCAAAATAAAAACTCCTCTTTTTGGGATAAAGATAACTGAGCCAGCCAAGTGGAGCAGAAATTTTCCCAACACGTGGCAATTACAATCTTACCTGCTTTAAAAGAATAAGTCTAAACCAAACTGCACTATTCAACAGCTCTTTTTTTCCCACCTGTCAAACTGACAGTTTATCCTCACCGCCTCCACCTCCCTCATAAGCGCAAAGGCCCGTGACAGCACGACAGAGCCAGAGCAAAACACCTCCACCCAGAGCAGACTCACTGGGCCCAGCAGCAACCAGGGAAGCTTCACCACCCCTCCGCCTGCAGACCTGTCAAAGGCCGTGCAGCTCCCCACCTGCCAAACCAGGTCAGCCGTCTGTCACTCCAGCCAGACGGCCCTCGACAAGCCCTGTCACCCACCCTGCCACCCATCACCCATCCTGCTGACGTTGAGCTCAACCGAACCCAACCGCCTGCCGTGTCCAACTGCCAGCTGACACACGCCGCGACCCAGACCCGAAGCCCGCCGGCCCCTGCCAGTCCCGCTCCCCCAGCGGAGGGCAGCCGGCCCGTCCTCATGGCAGCTCAGCGCCGGCGCACACCGCACCGCGGAGAGGGGCCGGGGGACTGCGGGGGGAGGCGTAGGGGCGGCACTCACAGGTCCAGCAGAAGCCGAACTTCCCCGCTGCCGCCATCCCAACCGCCGCTGAGGCGGCTCATAGCGACGGCGGGGCACGGGGAGCCGACCGAGCTCAACCGTTAGGGAGGAAGGCGAAATGGCGGCGGCTCCCCGCGGCCGGGCATGATGGGAGGTGTAGTCCCGCCACATCCCGGGCTGCTCCGCCTCTGAGAGCATGAGAACCCCGATCTGGCACAGACAGGGACTGCCTTCCCTTTCTCCCGGCATTAAACATTTAGCAGAGTATCTTCTCTAGGTGAAGCGTGTGGGAGCTCGGGTAGGTTAAGAATTCCCTGACCTAATACAGCATTAGCGAAGTTTTTTAATCTTCCCCAATTCCTCCTTCTAATTTTGACAGTTCCTAGGAGTTTATAAGTACACTGGGAAATTGAAAAATACACACGTGTGTACAAAGGCTGATATGATGACTATCAGCTGCATCAGCATTTTCTTAACTCATACACTCTAGTGAGGGAACCAGTAAGTCAGCCGTTTGCACGTCCTCTCGAACCCAAGAGAGGTCCTGAGACAGTAAGCTGAAGAGCACAAGATGTAAAGGGTCCATAACTTGGTTTGCTAACTCAAAAGGCACAAATAACACAAATAGCATCGCTTAATTTAACCTTTTGCTAACTCAAGAGGAATTTATTGCTTTGAGGAATTTGTTGCTTAGTTTAACCTTTTGCTAACCCAAGAGGAATTTACTGCTTAGTTTAACCTTTTGCTGGCCCAAGCACATTCTCAAAAGGGAGCTTTCTCAAGTCAGGAGAAAGGGACCCCTAAGAAAACAATGGAAAGAGAAGATAAACGGGATAAGAAATTGCTGAGGCATGCAGGGCAGGAGAAGAGCTCAGAACTGGTCAGAAGGAACGGCGAGGAAGATGTCTCACTTCATCCTGGAGCAACTACCAGATGCGGAGGAAGACATCGAGCCTTCATCCAATGGAAGCTACTGCACATGCACTGGAGAAGGGGATGGTATGTAAATGAATTCCCAGAAAAGTAATGAATATGTCAATGGGTCTTGGGTAAAACTGCTGAATATGTATGGCTTGGATTATAAATGTATCGAGATCCCACTCTCTGGTGTGCATGCTAGGAGGAATGATCCCCCTCGCACCTGGAGTGTGGCGCAGCGCTGAAATAAAGACGCACCTGCTCTAATAACTTTATGTGGGTTAGAGAGTTTGTTTCTGCAAATCAGTACCATCTTCCAGCACCTCCGCAATATTCTAGTTTGCTTCCAGATTACATTCAAGTTGGTGTCTCAGAACCCTGTGCGAGATGACACTGTTTTTGCATTAGTAATAGAATGCTGTACCAAAGGGATGCACCTCAGGCTTGATACTAGGTAAGTTCCTGTCTGTGGTTAAAGGATGCAGTACGTGCATTCTTGAGAGATAAGAGGAGACCAGCTGGCATGTTAATTTGTGTACTCTCCTCCCTTGGATAGCTGGGGGGAAGGGTGTGTTACCAAAGGTAAAGGCTGTAAGACATACATCTGCACCCAGAACTGCCTAAG